TTCAGCTTGCACAATTCCATCAAGGTCAGAAAACACAATCAGTATTACCTCCATGTTGGATCTTGATTGATGTGCTATTTTCGCACAAGGAGAAGGGGTGATTTCCTTTGAACTTTGGTCTCAGAACAGTAACTGTACAAGCACAAATCATCTCCCATGATGACGTTTCTTAAACCTCTGCTACCCGAAGTGTCACAATCCTGCAACTCTGATAAAAATGATGAAATTTTATGTTAATGCATTGCTTGTGAACCATGATTTCCTGCACCCTTTCAGGCACACGTTCTCTCACAACTCACAATTGACTTAAAACACCAATCAAGTTGAAACAAGTCACACTCTGACTGCGGTTTAATGCTCAACTTCTCATAGTGAAAAATCCCTGCATTTCCATTGGATGGCACTTGGAACCAGCATTCACCTATTCTGACATTTGTGATCACACCTCATATCTTGGGCTTTGGGCTGTACATGTGCCATTCGGACCATGGCCTATCTTCTGTGAAACTCCTTTTACCTAACAGTCTGAGTAGAGGTAGGTTTCACATAGAAGAGCTACAGGGCCGTAGATACCAGTTTTGCAATACTGAGGAACTTGACCAATACAGAGCAAAGTGCTTTCATTCATTGCAAGGATAAACTGAAACTTCTTTTTAAAGATGGTGTTGGCCTTGTTAATTCACTATCTATTTATAGTCAGTCTTCAGAAATTGGTAATGACAAGTGGGAAATTATTCATGGAAATACAGATATTTCCATGGGGCTATTTTGGACCACCATATCAGCTCTCCTGGAGTCTTCACATTCTTCTTGATCAAAAGTTGGCCTTAGACAAATTCATCAGCTAAACATTACTGAATTTGTTTTTTAAAATTTACTGCTGATCCAGAGCACTTAGGATTCCTCTTGATGATACCAGGTTTTAACCATGTGCATGCTGAGTAAGACGCTGTCCCCTGCACTCATGGATCCCTCTGTCAGCTCTAATGGCTCTCTCTAATGGCTCATCAAATTTTTTTAACTGTAATACTATAGTTGACCTTTATGTTAGTTCAGGTACTAATGCAGCAATAAAGGCTGAGTAAGAGTGGGATAAATATTGGTGCTACTTCCCCTCTCACTTTGTGCCCTCTATGACCAATGGCTTCACCTCCAAGGAGAAGGTCTGGCTCACCAATCTCTTTCTCTGACAGGTGGTGGTTATTTTCAGCCCTTGCCTGGGGGCAGGAGAGCATCACAGATTGGAGAGAAATCAGATATGCAAGGTTCCCCATCAAGAATTCTGTCCCATCCATCTTTAACATTCTAGTTTCAAAATAATTACCTTATAATTCATTGCCTTGGTAATCAAATTATTACATTTCCTCCTTGTGACTCACTGCAGTCACATGACTGTTTCTGAGAACTGGATCCTGACCTTGCCCTCATTTATATTCTTAGACTGAAGCAGAAGAAACCTTAGCCCGGTGACTGTTCCATCCTTGCTTCTCTGACACTATTGATCCCGGACTATATGTATCCATCCTGGCCTTCCTAGGATCTACCATTGGACTTATTTTCAAGTCTCAGATACCAAAAACCTAATCTTGCTTCTATGAGATGATATTCACCTCTGTCTGACCCTTCCTGACTCCTTCTGTGTAGCACACTGTACTGTGTACCCTAATTCGGTAGGAACTCAGTAGAAGAACCAAGTCTTTGGAGTGAAATAAGATGTATTTCTAGTTCATTTCTGCCATTTTAAAGTTGAGTGTCATTCTACATGTCTTGCCTGAAGTTTCTTCATTGCTCTGAAAACTAAGTCAATAATATTAACCTTATTCAGTAGTTTCAAAGATAGAATGAGCTACTATGGATATGCCAGATGAATAGAGGTACCAGCCCTCAATCTCTTTCTGAGTTAGAGTCACCCAATGTTCCTCCTTCCCATATTTCTCCCTCTTTCTCTCCCTTCGTTCCTTCCTTTCTTTCAACAAAAGTAACTGAGAGCCAGGACCTGCATTATCTCGTGAGGAAAGGATTCTTAAGTAGTTCAAAGTATAGTGTTAGAGACAGAGACACAAATCAATAACTTTACTCTGTAGAGGCCATGAAAGAGAAAGAGACAACAGCAAGATTCAGTGTTCTCTCACCACCAACTGGGCAGGCTTCTTCTCTAAAAGAAAAAGAACCAAATGCATCTTCATGGAATAATACTACGGTTTGTCTCTGAGTATGCCTTCAAAGAAACTTTGATCATGCATAAATTGTATATGAACATTGCATAAAAGAGCTGCTCATTCCTCACTTCCAGTAAACATTCTTCCAGATCCTCTAACCATCATGACTATATATTTTTCTATTGTTTACCTCTACTGAATAGCTGATCTCACCAATGAACATGCTTTACTATGCTACTTAGTAGCATACTTAGACCAATAAAAATCTCTCCACTGCTACAGAGGTTACTGCTTCTATGAGTAAAGTCCTACACCCTATGGCAGGCAGCAATGGTGAACCTGTAGGGACCGAGTGCCAAACTACAACACAAAACCCACTTATTTATCTCAAAGTGCCAACACTGCAATTAAACCTGAATACAAAAGTTCTAGTTTAGAAAAATAAAACTCTACATTAAGATCTTTTGTCTGAAAAGAAGAACACAATAACACGCCTGCCATACATTCACCATTACTGCCCTTTGGTATTTGTACAGCAAGAACAATGTAGTGTGAATATCAAATTATCTTTTAAATACTTTTTATTCCTCATCAAGTCCCAAGATGAGTGATCCTTTGCCCTTCAGATTGTTTCCTCTCTTCCCTCACCTTCCTTCCTGGAGAGATGAGTCTGCTGAGCTCTCCTGGCTCTGGCTCAGAGGTGCCCTCACTTCAATTTCCTAGGCAATGGGCAGAAAATGATGTAATTTACACATGTCACTGATGTCTTCATTTCCTTTACAGGGGAAATGCTTTCATTTCTTTGGAGGAAAGATCTGTCTTTAAGGAAAAGATTGGTATGATTATCTGTGATTAATATCGTACTTCCCACTTAAGATTTCAGGGAAGAGAAAGAAAGATTGACTCAGTTAGAAAGCTAGTCAAGGCTGGGTATGATGGTGCTAAATTGTAATAATTTTCCCAAGTGCTTTCACAGAAATCACAGTACAGTATTTGGCTACGAGGGCAGCCTAGCAAGGTAGGTGGACCAAAAATTATCATTTCAAATCATAGATGAGACAACTACAATTTCCCAGAGATGAGGTGGTTTTCCCCAGATCTCACAGGTAGCATATCACATAGGGAACTCAAGTTGACCTTTCCTAGGTTTGAATGTGCTGAGGCTGCTTTATATAAACCTTCCTTTCCAGCTGAACTCTACACATCTATAGTCCTGCACCTACATTTGTTTTAATGTGACTGAATTATTCAACTAACTTAGTCTTTTCAAGACAACCATCAAGTAATCTACATTAAACTAGAGTTCTCTCTTTTAAGATGTATCCTCCCCAGAATTAGTTTAGTGATTTATAAACCACCAAAAATTAGCTTGGGTGAAAACATATGTGTGGGAGAAATGTGCAAAATACTGAGATGATAATATAATTGAGTATTATGTTTTTACTAAGTCATACTCCAAGTGCCTGAAATAACTCTATGTCAGAAGAGAATCATTGAAAGATTGTTTTATAGCAGTTTGCAGAGAAAATACCAGAAATATATATGGTTCTCATGTCTGGGGAGAGGGATGGGGAGTTAGTGCCCTCATCTGAATTATCTGGGAATTTGAGTGAGAAGGGAAGTCGGGGATGATAGGCTTTCATTATGACAGCTGTATTCACGAGTCATATTTTTAAAAATTAATTCAAGTTTTATGAATAAAAGAATTCATTTTAATGTATTGCCCTAAGCTGAAACAGGTACTAATCAAAACTGAGGAAATTAGTGACAAAGAGGCCCCTCTGTAGTATAAGCTGCTTCCTAGGAAATAAATTTCCCCAAATGACCTATTACTGTAGTGAGAAGGAGCTGAGGAGTTCATCAGAATTTCAGTTTCTGATGCCTTCTCTTTGATGGTTTTGCATGACTTGACAGAATCCAGGTATCTGAATATAAGTTTTCTAGGCCAGTGATGGTAAACCTCTTAGAGATGAATACCCAAAGTGCAACCCAAAACCTACTTAATTATCACAAAGTGCCAACACTGCAATTAAACCTGAATACTGAGGTTGTGGTTTAGAAAAAATAAAACAACTCATACATTAACATCTTTTGTCTTAAAAGAACAACAAATAACAGGTGTGCTGTAGGTTCACCACCACTGCTCTAGGCCATTCTGTTAGAAATGGTGAGAAGACCACGCTTTCAGGATTTCTAGTACATAGAGCAGCTAAATTCATTGAGACAGAAGAAAGAATGATGGTTGCTATGGCCTAGGGGAGAGAAGAATGGGGAAATCATGGATGAGGGGTCCAGAATTTTAGTTTGAGAAAAGGAAAACATTCTAGAAGTGGACTATAGTGATGGTTACACAGGGTGTGCCTGTTCTTAATGCTGTTGAACTGTATATTTCAAAATGGTTACAATGGTAAATTTTATATTATGTATTGTTGCCCCAATAAAAAGAATTTCTAATGCAACTGGTGCCTATTGTTTAAAGTATTGGTGTCTTAGTTTTCTTACTAAGTCTTGATAAAGAAAATAGATATAGCTCCACTTTAAAAAGGTCATAATTCATGCTGCATTACAGATTAAACATGTACAGGAATTTATCATCTTTTTATGACAGAGAAAAAATAATGAACTACCTAAAAGGACTGATAAAACTTCATTTCAGCTTTATCATGAGAAAGTAGATTTCTTATATATGCATAATCTTACCAAATTAATGGGACTATTATAGCGAGTCACTCAACCTTCATTCTAGTGATTGCTCTTCTGATTGCTTCTCTAAAATGGATTCATCCAATTTTGCTTTGTCTTTGCAACAAAAATGTATAGTGATACTCATGCTCTTTTCAGGATAGGGTGTGGGCCAATGTGGGGAAGAGCCTGAACTGCATTATTGCTATGGTAGATCAACTGATTGAGAGAGATGGCAGCAGCGAAGGCAGCGGCAGTGGCGACAACGATGGAGAGAAGGATCCTTCGCTAGCAGACTCCATTACATCTCACCCAACGGGTAAGGAATCATTTTTTACCCAATCATTGACTGAGTAAACAAAATGAGAAAAGTCATGATAAAATGGGCTAGAAAAAGAGGAGTCAATACTGCCTTTGATGGAAGTGCTAATAGCAGGCCTTTTCGTGCTCCAGTTTGAATGATGGAGAGCTATTTATCAAATCGCATCAGAGTTGTGTTTTCAGAATTGCTTGCAATGCTCATTTTTTTTCTTTTGCCACATAAAAACCTTCTTGAAAGAAGAACAGTGTTTTTTTTAAAGGGTCTGACAGAGCTTAATTTACTTTTACACATTCTCCCAAGTTTTTATTAGAAAGACAAACAAGCATCTGCTCTTAACTCTTGGAAACTTTGAGAAATATCAGGGTACAGTATCTCTCATAGTTCCTGAACAGAAAAAGTACAGTGTTGCAGAATACTTCCTGTCTTATTCTGAACAGTATTTTTATGAATTATCCCCAAAACACATAAGTGGCTTTGATTCTAAAGATTGTTTGTGATTATTCCAAAAACATAACACTAGATTTTCATGGATGCATCTGTGTTTAAACACACATTCTTGCATATGTGTAGGAGGATATGTGCTTGCCTGTAGAGAAAAGAATGGATGGATAGACACTCTCAAGTAGATGTCTTATTACCAGGCTGGCTAACATAAGTGATAAAATTTTAATTGTACGTGTGTCCCCATGAATAGCTTTTATTTTTTGTTAACTGTCACAGAGCCAATGTTGCTTATCTTTATGAAATAAGAACTGCTATGAAAGTTGACACAGCTGTTTTGCAAGTTGTCTTCTATTTGGAGAGATTAAACCATAGTTCTCCACTTTCTTTTTCTGAAGTCTGTTGTTTTACTTTAAGAAAATGAGACACAAAAATCTATGGATGTTTATAGAATTAAATTTATGTTTCTTCAATTTGTTTTCCTGGTTTTCCATTACTCATGTTTTCAACAAGAGTTTAATTACGTAAGACATCCATTCACTTGATTAACAGTGGGACCCCTTTAAATCATATTTGAAAACTTTGAGTTTTTAAATTTGTCTTAAAGTGGCCCCTCTTCCCTTATTGTAAATTTACATAAATGAAAGGTTTATAGTACTGTACTGTTCTTATGTCCACATCTAATTGTTCTCACTTTGTATGGTGATTTCCTTGCTTAATAATATCAGTTTTATTAGATATGGAATCTAGTATAGTTCCATAACTGCATGAGTTAAAATGGAACCATGCCGTAGCTATGTCAAAGAGAAATAGCATGTTTCAATTTTCTTTAATTGAACATATATTGCCCATCAACTATGAGTCAGACACTGCTGTGTTCTAGAAAATGTGGTAAGTAAACAGAATCCAGAATGAAGTAACTTATTTTGTCAATTGACAGATTTGGAAAACATTTTTAAGGAGAAATAACATAAAGGATGCACATATTCCTATAATTTTTGTTCAATGCTTTCCAAAATTCACTGAAGAAAATGAAGTATAAAATATTTGAAATTATATATTTTATCAATATCTATGTTTTATTGGAAGGTTGTATCTGTATGATAAAAATTATATTTAAGAAGTAAATATTTATTTGTCTACAAAACATTGTGTAGATATAATCTAAAACAAGATGGAAGATACTGCAGCTATAGAATTCACAACTAAATCTATGTTGTTGATGGATAGACCCAAACTACAATGTATTATACTCTAATTTTAAATTTTTCCCATTTATATTTTACTGAGTATATGTATTTCATCTCTCATCCATTCTTCTTTGTGTTAATAGAATTTTTAGAAATATCACTATTTAAAAGTGTTAAATAAAATATTTTAGATAAATTATGTTGTAAATATTGCTAAATAATTTCAAAAATAAAATATTGAAAGACATAATGGACACTTGCATGTAGAGTATGTTTTGAGGAGAATATTGGTACATAAAAGAAAATCTCTAACATAAATGTTTTATAAATGAATCTGTGCTCAAATGTATTTTTTTTTTTCTTTTGGTACTGGGGATCGAACTCAGGACCTTGCGATTGTGAGGCAGGCGGCGGAACCACTGAGCTAAATCCCTGGCCCCTCAAGTGTATTTAAATATATTATACATGCTATTGGATAGCTACAGTGAGGTTGATGACTTCAATCAATTAGTTAATAAAATATTAAAATATTTTTATTACTTAATAATGCATAACCTTCCTCTTAAATTAGCTTTTAAAAAAGTACTTTCAATCTCTACCCTAACTTTTGTCACATACAACAATATAATACAGAAATGTATAGTAGTTTTTGAACTAATAGAAAACAAATGAATACATTAATAAAGTCATGTATTTACATTTAACTACATCCCAAACTATTTCTCATAAAGGTATGTGAGAAATGTATTCACTGTCCCAATTAGCTTGTATTTTTAAAATATTAGCAAAAGTGATGATTAAGAAATTTTGTAAAGGAAAGCAAACAGGATTATTCATGATTTTTATCTTACCAGCATAACCCTTTTGGACATTTCTTGTGTTTATACACACACACACACACACACACACACACACTCACACTTCGGCTGAACTGGAGTACACATTATAAATACAGATATGTATTTTTTATATCTTGTATTTAAATTTTTCCTCATAAACATTGGCTGGAAATACAGGTATAATGATTGCAAACTGCTTCATCAAATGGGAAATCACTATTTTAAATATTTAATTATTAAATAAGGCTGTAATTAACATATAAACATCTTTGAATGTCTAAATCTTCACCACTTTTCAGATCTCCTTAAGTTTGATTGTAAGAAGTGAAATTATAGGACCGAGGATTTAGCTCAGTGGTTTCGCTGCCTACTGCACAAGTGCAAGGACCCGAGTTCAATCCCTAGTACGAATAAAAGAAAAAAAAAGAAGTGAAATTATTTTGGAAAGAGTTATTCCTTCTTTCCTATCTATTAATTCAAGTATTTGTTTCTATCAATGTGGGCTCATGAATATTTATTTTATTCTTTGATTTACAATCCAGTATTATTATTATATGTTTTGGGCTCAAGTGTTTCTAGATTTAGCCATGGGACCTTTTGATATCTGTATCCTTTTCACGGGATCCTTTTCTAGCTATTTACTCCTTTACTTTCAGTCTCACTATTCCTTTACCTTCATACTTTTTTTCTCCTTAATGTTTGGAACCATGAAGTGCTCCAGACTCATCTTGTATTTGTGCTGCCCCAGCTTAGATTCAACCAGTTTCCAAAGAACCCTGGTTGCTTTTATAGGAAAATGGCATTTAAAACCCAGGATCTGGGTGCGTAGAAACATTCTGATGGCTTCCTGTGACAATAAGTATTTCACTAACAGTATCTACAATCACCCTTCTAATTACAGTCTTCCCAGCCATAAATATTGCCAATGATTTCTTGCCACTTTGAGTGAAAAATACCAAGTTGTAATTTCTGCTCATCTTGAAACTTGACATTCTTATAATACAACACATTTCTTCAGCAGCTTCCTATTTATCCTTATCTCCTAACTGGTAGAAAAGCAGCTTCTTTTTAGTCTTCTCTTTGGGCTGGGGATTTAGCTCATTGGTTCCGCCACCTGCCTCACAAGCACAAGGACCCGAGTTTGATCCCTGGTGCCAAAAAAATATATATTTTTACAATTATTTAATGAATTTACTGAGTGAGTGATTGGCGTCATCAACTACTTTTTACAATGTATGATGCAATAGATATTATTAGACATTTTTTGTAACATCTTGTAACATCAACATTTTATGTTGCATCACTTTTTCTTGATAGATTAATTTCTGCAAATATTTGTAATCAATTTCTGGAAATTTTATTCTGTTACATGTAATTCTAGTTATTGTCCTTTACATTGCAATATATTTCTACATTTGCAATATATTTCTGCAATATATTTCTGCAATGTATTTCTAAATCTCATAGGATGAATTAAATTTGCACTAGTTTTTCTTTCTTCAAATCTCTCCCTTACTTTTACATTTCACCTATAATTTGTGTTTGTTTTGTCAGTATTTATGTAGCATTCTTAAATGGGTGGTCCTGTGAATTGTCACTTGGTTTATCTGTTTTCTTTTATTTCTCTATATCCTGCACCTATGTCTCTTTTCAGATTGTAGATTGTTCTTTTTACTGTGTATTAATTTAATAATACTATTTTGGATTTGTAGTTTTGAAGGAGTTTTGCTTGTTTTTGAACCAAGGTTTTATAATATATCTTTTACAAAGTGTATAAGTTACTTTTAAGGGTGAATTCAAGTAGTGCCACAGGAGTAAAGCTTTCTTTACTATTTGAACATAAATAATAGAGTAGTGGTTCTAGACATATACAGCATATATGTGTGTGTTTAATGAACACAGATTGTTATTTTATTTTCAGCACACGTACACACTTTTGTAGGCATCTGCTGTGTTTAGCACCCTATGCCCTTAATTTCATAATAAATTGAAGACTCAAGAATTAAATCAGTGAATATTAAAAACTTAGATTTTGATGCAACATTAAAGATTATGTAATGAAACCTCCTAAACTGTATTAAGAAGCTTACCTGTAATAGCCCTGCCAGTTTTCACCCTGCCTGTGCAGTGCATCTCTAGTTACATAAAAACATTTTTATTTTGTAATGCAACCCACTCCAGACATTGATCCAAATATATTTTCTTTAATTTTATCCATTGGCCCAGATGTAATTCTTTCCATTCAATGGAACAAATTTACTTTGCTTTTCCACATTAAAGCTAATTTATATATGAAAGCAACTATCATGTTCTTTTAAAGTCATTACCTTTGGGGGCATTTTCCAAAGGAATAACCTCAAACATACCCAATAGTTGCTTTTCTCAGAATCTTTTCTTACTGGTCTACACAGTCCTCAGAAACAAACATGATACTGATGCTTTCTAGTAACTACAGAGCAACACAGGAGGTCTGCTGCCCTACTTTTAGATGCTACTAATTTCAATCATAGCTCAACATTAGCTATTT